CAAACCCTAAGGGAGAGGTCCCAGATGGCCACCCTAAGACCTGGACCCTCCAGCCTCCCAGGGCACCCCCGGGAGTCCCTGCGGGGCCCCGGTGGGGGGCGGGATGCCTGTGCTGGGCACCGCAGGGGCCTCTGGCATCAGGGCCGCTGGCAAGCGCAGATTTATGAGCAGGGCTATTTTATACTTTGCAGCTGCTGCCACAAACCCTGGACTGGCCTGGGAGGGGGAGCAGCTGCAGGGGAAGCTCCTGGGCCCCGGAGCCAGGGCCAGATCCTTCCTGCTATTTCTGAGCAGCCGGAGGAGCCCTGGAGTGAAAATCTCCGGAAAAAAGGACAACCCCCTGCCCCACTCCAGGCAGGCTGGTCCTTCCCCCACGCCAGACGAAGGGCCAGGATGGAGCAGCCCAGAGCTGGACACAGCGCCAGGCTGCCCACCGGAGAGCCCGATTCGCACCAGCTCTGGACACGTCCCAGCTCCTGTCTGGTCCTCAGACGCCCTCTTACATATCGAGGGGCTGAGCTCAATTGGGGGTTCTGACCTGTAGAGGTTCCCTAAGGTCACTTAGCTCAAGCATTCCCACTATTTAAGGTTCTCTGTTCCAACTACTGGCTGTGTGACTTTGGACAAGTTACTTGACCTCTCTGGTTCTCTGTTTTTCTCACCCGTAAAATGGGGCGAAATAATGACCGTCTCATCAACAAGGGCGTGAGGAAGAAATGACATGACATCAGTAGCTCGCAGCAGGTTTATTTGTAACAGCCCACAACTGGAAGCCACCCAAATGGCCATCAGGAGGTGAACCCATTAACAATTGTAGTGCAGCCGCCATACAAGGGAATACTACCCAGCAAGGACAAGGGGTGAAATACTGATACAAACAACAGCATAAGTAAATCTCGAAATATGAATGCCAAGTGCAAGAAGCCAGACCTAACGAATACACACTGCACGGTACCATTTATGTAAAATTCCAGAAACTAAAAACGAATCGCAGTGACAGAAAGCAGGCAGCCAGTTGCTTGGGGGCGGAGGGATCTGGGGATGGAGGGCGCAGTAAGGAGGCCTTGCCAGGGGCACCGAGAACCTTCATGGAGATGGGTATATGGGTGGGTGTACGCGTGTGTCAGTCCTCACGGTGTGCACTCAAGTGTGCGCAGCGAGCGTGCGTCCATTACGCCTCAGCAAACCTACAGACGCTAACGCCCCAGACATGCGTGATGGCCCGTTTGCAAATGGCGGCTCTTCCCGGTGTGAATCATGTGGTTGCCCCTGGACGATTCTTTGTGGAATTCATCTTCTCTGCGCGCATACCACCTCAGCTCTGTTTTGCTAATGGCTGGCGCCTGTACCTGCGCGCGTGCGCGGAGCACCTGCTGTGTGTCGGGCGCTGTGCCGAGTGTTGGGGAGATGGCGGAGCACGTCGCCCCAGGCCGCTTTCCTCATGGGCTTTGCATCCTGGTGGTGACAGTTGTCCGGTGGTAACAGGGTGATAGTTGCCCAGCCCAGCCCTCAGACACTCTGATTTAACTGGTCTGGGTGGGGGCTGGGAGTCAGGATTTTTCTTTTAGAGAGAGAGGGGAAGGGAGGGGAGAAAAGAGGATGAGAAACACTGATGTGCAAAAGAAGCGTGGCTGCCTTCCCGACCTGCAACCCAATCGTGTGCCCTGAGTGGGAATCGAACCGGCGACCTTTCTGTGTGTGGGACGATGCCCCACCAACCCAGCCATGCCCGCCTGGCCAGGAGTCAGGACCTTTTTTAAAGCTCCCAAGTCATCCCATTGTGCAGGCGGAGACCCCTCCGGGGTGGAATAGGACCATCTCTGTATACACATGGACACAGCGGCCCAGGGAGGTGAGGTGCACTGGCCAAGGCCACACAGCCAGGAAAGGGTGGAGTCGGCATGGACCCAGGCGTCTCACTGTGCAGCCCATCCACCTTAACCACCCCAGAGGGCGAAAGGTGAGGTGCCCAGGGCAGAGCGGCCAAGACAGGTGAGCTCCACCCCTCCTGCTCTTGCCCTGGCCAGGTCCCCCAGCAGGCGAATGCCCAGCCCCTAAGGCTGATCAGACCGGGGCAGGGCACGGGGAAGGGGGTCTCTTCAGCACCCAACCCTGCCACACACCCCCAGAAGCCCCCATGCCCACACTGAGCTGGGGGCCCTGCCTGGGGGTGGTTTTGCTCACTCTCTCTCTCTCTCCCCCTTTATGGCGACAGCCGGCCTGGCCCTGGGACAGGCTCCCAAGCCGGGGGCAGCTGTGCAGTTTTACAAGCCCTGGGACAGTGGGGGCCTGTTCCCAGGCCTCTGGATCCCTGGGAACAGGGAACCCCTCACTCCCACCCTCAAGCCCCCCTGTCCCCCCGGCCCAGCCACAGCCACAGCTACACACACCCCCCAACCACTGTCCCCCTCCGTGGCTCCCTCTGCTCCGGTGCCCAGACCGACGAGTGCCCGTCAAAGGCTCTTCCTGGGTAGTTCTACTGCAGCTTGCAGGGCCCTACGCAGGAGTGGAACCCTGCTGTCCCCTCTCCCAAGGCTTTATTCCTTCATTCACTCATGCATTTGGAAGAAAGCAGTAGAGCCCAGTACGGGACTGAGACTTGGGAGTCAGACGCAGGGCTGGAGTCCTGGCTGTGTGACGGGGCAACTGACTTCACCTCTCTGGGCCTCAGTTTTTCCATCCGTGACACTGGGAGTAATAATAGTGCCCGCCTCGTGGGGGCGCAAGTCTCAAAGTGTTAATGATGTCCAGTGCTTAGAGCAGTGCTTGGCACATGACAGGTGCTCATTGATGGTGGGCAGTCATTATTATCACTGGAGGAGGGCTATCAGGGAGGACTCCCTGGAGGAGGGACATCTAGGCCAGAAGCTAAAGAGTGAGAGGGAGTTAGCGAGGAAGGGGTGGAACAGTGTTATAGGCAGAAGGAATAGTAGCTGTAAAAGCTCAGAGGTGAGGGAGAAGGGAACTCTTGCACTGGAGCTCAGACCACAGTTCCAAGGGACACCGGCTGTGGCGAGGGCCCACACTCTGTGTCCTCTGGAGGTCTCAGGGGAGCCACTGACCAGGGAGCAGCTGCTGGGGAAATGCACCCCTGCCAACCCCAGAACCTCCAATGCCTGCTCCTGTCTTCCTTGGGTTTCCCAGTCCTGGGGAAGCATAATGTCCTTCCCAGCCACAGTCCCGCCGGAGCTCAGGAGCCAGCGGAGCGCTTGTCACACCCAGAGAGGTTGAGTGGCGCGGTCAGAGCCACACAGCGTCCGGGTGTTCGGTGCGGGTATCGGATGCTCTCTGTGTTCTTGGGCGGGAGCTGGTCTGGGCTTGGAGGGGGCAGGCCCTTCCCCACTGAGCGAGACAGAGGCCGTTGTGTGCTGTGAAACCCAAATCCCGGCCCCCTCCGGATGGCCGCGGGGTCGAAGGAGGAGAGGAGTGGCAGGGGGGCAGCCTCCCTGCCCCCATCACCTCGGGGATCCAGCACGCGCGCTGGGCCCAGCCACATCTGGATTCCAGCTGGCAGCTCTGGGGCAGCAGGGGGGCAGTGGCCGCAGAAACTTGCCATCAAAGGCGAGGAGGAGCCTGCTGCTGAGGAGACAAAGGCCAGGGCTGCCTCCAGCCCCGGGTGTCTGCGAGGGGGTGGGTGCAGAGACCCACCCCATCCTCAGCCACCCTACAGGGGCACCGGAGGGAAGCCTCAGCTGGGGGCCCCTCCACTGCCCTGGCTCCTCGGAGACACAGGGAGTGGGTGGCTCCCCTGTGGCCACAGTGAGTAGCAGAGCCACCATGGACCCTGGCGGGGCTGCCACAACTCAGGGCTGAGGCCCAGTCTTAGGGACACGGGTTACCACTCCCACTCCCCTGAGACACCATCTTTTCTCTCGATTCAGCCCCTAGGGCTTGGATGATGTGTCTCCCCCAGAAAGTTGCCCCATCCCCACGGAACACCCCAGGAAAAATGCCCTCATCTTCCTGGGGGGGTCACTCCCCCTTCAGAAAGCCAGTGAGACTCAGGACAGGATAAAGGTTTATTGTGCTGGTTCCTTACAGCTCAGCACCCGGGGAGCTGCGCAGAGGCAGCGCAGCCCCCGATGGAGGGATGGGGAAGAGGACCCCCCCAGAGCCTCCCCAGGTCAGGACGGAGCTCAGGCTCCCTGGTCGAGGACTAAAGAGCGCTGTGGACACAGGCTGCCGGACAATGGTGTGCGAGCAGGTGGTGGGGGGCCAGCACCCCGCTGCTCCAGGCCGGGCGTCAGAAACCCTGCCCCCCCTCAGGCTCCCCAAGAGTACGCTGTCCCCGTGCTCGCCCCGGGGCTCCCAGGCTGCTTGGGGAGTCCGATCAAAAGGTGCGATTCATTCGCCCTGTCCCCTGGCCGTGGCAGGATGAGAGGCCGCACTTGAGCGGCCCAGGCCCTGGCAGCCCGCCCCCCAGACCCAGCAGACCCTGGGGGCACCTTTGGGAGAGCAATAATTTCCAAAGTGTGCTCTGCAGCGTTTTACACTGTAGCTGCTAAAAAGTACCGCACGGTCAAAAGCAGTTTGGGAAAGGCTAAGTGAAACCAGATTCCACGGCCCTTGGCTGCAGGACTTGCGAGAGCCCCGGGCGCTCAGGGGCGGGGGCGGGGCGTCCAGGCGCAGTGTTTCTGTCCTCTCGCTGGGCTCCAGAATCTTTTTTTCCACAGGGTACCCCAGGGGCCCCAGTTTGGGAAATGCTCATGGAAGACCCTGCCGTGAGGGGTGCAGGGGCCACTTGAAGAAGGTTCCCGATGAATCAGGCGGGCTTCTGCGTCCCCTCGGATGGCACCAGCCCCGGGCGCTTCTGTGTTTCCCACAGACAGTCTTCCAAAGCTGCTCCTTCATCTGCTTTCCTGCGCTACCTCGGCGAGAAGCGCTGCTGTCGGCGCTGCCACGAGGGACCCTCAGAGCTTGTTTCCTCGTGGACGGGGCTGTAATGGGGACGTCCCTCCCCACCCCCACCCGCCTCCCCACCCCCGCCCGGCCTCCCCAGAGCAGCTGTGCTTGGGGACGGAGCCCTTTGGGGCCGCAGGGGCAAGCGTTCTGGAACTTGGTGAGACCCCAGGAGTGGACTGGAGACCAGCGTCTCTGCCCACTGCAGGGTCGGACGGGACACGTTGGGATTTGCAGCTGGGGGTGGGCAGGGAGGGGGCTTCAGGGAGCGCTAAGGGCCTTTCTGTGCCCAAGGAGGGGACCCCTAGGGGTCCGACAGTCAGGGCCACAGCTCTGGGGGGCCTGTTAGACGCTAGGGGTGGCACTGCCACAAGCGCAGGGGCTTTCTGGGGGGCCAGCTGGGTCCCCAGCTTCCTGGGCTAATGAGGGAGCCGCTTCTGGCTCCCCGGGGCCCTCGCTGGCCCCAGCAGCCCCCTCTGCTGGCACTGAGCACAGAGCCTCTTCCGGCGCCTGTGGGGTGATCTCCGCTGGGGCCCCACAGCCCTGGGCCTCAGGGTGCCCCTCCTGGCCGCCCGCCTCCTCTTCCTCTGACTTGGCCTCTGTCATCCTGGCTCCGTCGCCGCTGCCTGGGGTCGCCCTGGTGGGAGACTTGAGGTTCTGGGTGGCGGCGAGGATGTCCGCCTGGAGCTGCTGGGAGGAATCCAGGGCCTCCTCGGGCCGGCCGTCGGGAGCCCTGTCAGGGACTTCGCTGAAGGCCTGGGGGCCCCCGGCCCGGTCCCGCTGGTCCACGTACTTCTTCTTGGGGAAGGACGACGGGTAGTAGGCCGAGGCCTTGTGCTTCTGGCGGGTGATGAGGGCGGCGCAGACGATGAACATGACCAGGAACACCAGGGAGCCCACCACGGCGATGAGCATCACATACTGGCGGAAGAAGTCCACGATGCCGTCCAGGAAGTTGGTGGGCGGCTTGGGGCCCGCCGGGGGCGTGGGCTGGGGCCCCACTGCCGTGGGGCTGAGGGCTGGGGTCTGGGGCAGCGGGAGGCTCGGCGAGGAGGCCGAAGAGCCATCAGCCTCCCCGCTGCCCCCCAGGTCCTCCGAGAAGGTGTCCTGCAGGGGCACAGAGTGGACCACCGCGGGCAGGACCCTCGGGAGCAGCAGCAGAGACACGAGGAGGCCGGAGGCCGCGGCAGAAAGCATGTTGCCCGGGACCTATGGGGAAGGAAGGCAGGAGAGAGGTCAGGGAGGGACTCCAGGGTCTCGGGGGACCCCGAGGAGGTGCAGGAAACACGCAACGTATTCTAGCAAGTCGCCCCCCTTCCTCCTCCGGGCCTGAGCCTCCCCACTGTACAATGGACCCCCGTGCCTTCATGGGTGGGGTTCACACCTCCCCTCTCGCTCCACTCTGAGACCCTGGAGAGGAGGGGCTGGATCTTATTTATTTATCTTGGCATCCTCAGGTATACAGTAAGCGCTCCATGCATGTATCTTGACTGACTTGACTGAACAAATAATAATCATTTACCTTTTCCCTGCTTGCAATATGCCAGGTACTATTTTAAGTTTTTTACATGGAATGTCTCACTGAATCTTAAGAGCCACCCAGTGGGGAAAGTCCTATTATTGTCCCCATTTTCCAGGTGTGGAAACTGAGGCTCAGAGGGGTCCAGTGACCTGCAGAGAAAGAGCAGGCTTTGAAGATGGTGGGGCTGAGTAAGAAACCGAGTCACTGTCAGCTGAACCCCTTCCTGTGGGGAGCCTCCCCAGCTGCCCCCAGCCTCTCTGTGGTCCCCTTCCTTGCTCCAGAACATTCCGAGGTCTCGGAGCCTGCCCACTTGCCGAGCTCCACAGAGGCCTGCCTGCGAGAGGCATGATGGAGGCATCTGCCCCATGGCTGACCTCACCTCAAGGCCCAAAGCAGGACCTGGAGGCCGCAGGGGGACCCGCCCCCCAGGCCTGAGACAAAGCTGGAGCCCGCTGGAGCCCGAGTCCCACCACCACATGAGAACTAGCTGCACCCTGCCCTGCTCTGTTGGAAAGCTTCTCCCAACGTGAACCCCCAGACCCCATCTGGCCCAGACAGCCGGCTGACTGATAAATTCCTCACGGCCAGGGTTTGCGGAGGAGCCTGGCTTCTAAAACAGGAACCCTCCCAGCCAGTCTGAGTGGGCCTAGGCGCTCTGATGAACCTGGGGACCACTTCCTGTGCCCCGCCAAGGCACCCCCTGAGAACCCCATCCTGACCCAGGGGCGGGCCCAGGACCCTGACAACTAGGTGAGGCCAGGGGCTCCGAGACGGAAAGGCCTTGGGGTCCCCTGCCAGAGACCCTCTCTCAAGGGACTGAGATGGGGAGACCGGGGCCCAGAGAGGGCAAGGGGCAGACCTAGCGCCACACAGCAGGTTCTGGGCTGGAGAAGGAGGCCGGGCGTCCAGCTCCTCCACTGCAGTCGCCCTGAGTGCCTCGGCCGGGAGCCCTGCTGCGTGCAACGGGCAGCCCTGGGGACTGGGGGGCTGAGGCAGGAGGGGCACTAGGCCATGGAGTGACTTTTTCCAAGGGCCCCAGGGCCACCCAACCAAAGTGCCGTGGTGAATGGTACCGAAGTGAATTCGGACAAACAGGCTCAGATGGCAAGAACAAAAGATAATTCAGGAAATAAAAAGAGGCAACGCTACTCAGGGGTTCTTTTTTTTTTTTAAATCTTCACCCGAGGATATATTTTTATTGATTTAGAGAGAGAGGAAGGGACAGAGAGGCAGAGAGAGGGGGAGAGAGCGAGAGAAATATTGATCAGTTGCCCCCTGTACACGCCCTGACTGGGGATCGGACCCACAACCTAGGTACCTGCCCCGACCGGGAATCGAACCCACAGCCTTCTGGAGCATGGGATGACGTTCCAACCTACTGAGCCGCCTGGCCAGGGCCCAGGGGCTTGTTTTTAGTGAGCTGGCCACTGTCCTGTCATCTCAGGCCACTCATCTGAGCCCCCTGCCGAGGGTGCCACCCTGCAGAAGCCCCAGCTCTGGCACTGTCATCGTCTCCGATTTTCAGACGGGGAGCCGAGGTTCGTTCAGAGACAGGCAGTGACTTGCCCAAGGACACACAGGCAGTCAGTGTCAGAGCTGGGATTCGAACCTTCTGTCTGACACCAACAGTTTCTCCCTCTCTCTCTCTCTCTCTCTCTCTCTCCCCCCCCCCACCCCTCACCTTCTCTCCCCTTCCTTCCTTCCCTCCCACCCTCCCTCTCCCTCTTGCCCAGGGCTGGCCTCACATCCCCTGGCTGATGTCACTTGTCAGCTGGGAAAAAGATTCAAGGTGCTGCGGGAGCTGCGGGAGCCTTCCCGGCCCTCCTCTCTCTGGCCCTTGTTGGCGAGGGTTCCACAGACAGCTTTGGCCTGGGGGTCTCTGTCCCACCGGTCCCACCCCGCCTTCTGCCTCCAGTCCAGCCTCAGGAGAGACCTCTCCCGGTGGCGGCTGAAGCTTCTCCCCGCAGACAGTGACCAGTGGTGGCCGAAGACCAGGGGGCTTTCCCAAGGGGTGGACTGGGAAGTCCCTGTGGGTGGCAGAGTGGGGAGGCCGGGGAGGCGAGGATTCGAGTCCTGGCTCCATCTCGGCCCAGCTCTTTCGTTAGGCCGCCTCAGTCTCCCCGTCCGTAAATTGGGGACATGCTGGGGAGGGGACCCCGGGCCCCGCCTGGCACAGAGGAGCTGCGCACGGGGGAAGCGTCTTCCCGCCGAAGCCCGCAGGCAAGCCCCCCGCGGGATGTGTGCGTCTGGCCAGCACCCCCCCCACCCGCCTCCAGCCTTCTCGCCTCATGGGGTGGCGTCTCCTCAACCCTGACCGCCGAGGACCCCAGGACCACACTTGCACACACGCAGGCGCAGCAGAGAGCTGGACGGAGAAAAGGGCCCCTGGCCCCTGAAGCTTTGGGCTGGGGGCACAGAGGATAGAGAAAGACGCCCCACAAACAATCTCCGGCTCCTGAAGACGAAGACCCCGATTCTCAGAGTCCCCCACACCCCACACCCCTCCCTCAGCCCCCCAGAAAATGTGCAGGCACAGTGAGTGAGCTGGCCAGGCCCCGAGGGAGATGGCTGTGTGACCCTGCATGGTGGTGAGCTCCCTGCCTTCCCTGGGCCTCAGTTTCCCCAGCTGTAGGATGGGCGCGCCAGCTCTGCCCCACCTCCTTTCCGGGCCTAACTCTTCCAGGACTCGGGAGCTCACAGAGCACTGCGAGCTGGCGGCAGGCCTGCCCTCTCCTCCCTCCCAGAGGCAGCCGGGCTGAGTCGGGTCGGCCTGCCCGGGGTCGCACAGCCTGTCGGCGTGGGGTCCCGAACGGGGCCCTGAACAGAGAGGCCACGCAGAACGCCCCGCACAGGAGGTCCCGTGCGTCTTCTCTGGGCCTCGGTTTCCACGTCTGTTCAGTGGGGATGGGGGCCGCCCCCTGGGCTGGTGTCAGGACGAGAAGCAGCAGGGCCTGGAGCAACAGCGGGGACTGGTGGGCGCCAGGTGACCGGCCAGGACCCCCAGCCTGGGGCAGGGCCTCTCCTTAGGGCCCGTCTTACTCGGGGGCGTCGTTGTAAAACATAGAGGCCCCTGGTGAGGTCAGGAATATGCAGCTGATACAACATCCACCCCTAAGACCTGGGTACCCCAAGTCCCGAGGCAGAGGGGCCGCAGCAGCGGCTCCGCCCCCACGCAGAGACTGGTAGCCGAGGGGGAAGGGCGGCCCACAGAAACCTGGCTTCAATTAGTGGCCTTGGGGGGAGGGGGCCTGGCTGAAGCCCTGCACCCCCTGCTCGGGGCAGCCGAGGACAGTGACCTGGGTCCCTTGGAGGGCAGGCCTGGGGAGGGATGGGCGTCCCGAGGGCTCAGACAACACACACACACATACACACACACACAAAGAGCAGCCACAGTGTAGACACACAACACAAATACACGCACACACAGCACGCAGACACAACATCCAGACACCCCAGAGGGTGCACGCAGCCCACAGCACTGACCCCCGGACCACGGACACGGACACACAGCGGCCAGCTCCCCAGCCACACGTGCACACAGGCAGCCCCAGTCACATCAAGGACCCCCCCCCACACACACAGGACAGGACAGTCCCGGCCACACCGTCCTCCCGCTGGAAGCGACCACCCCAGCGTCCACTTCCAAGGACGGCACGTCCCCCTAGAGGGAGGCCACCGCGGCGCGCGGACAACACTCAGGCGCGCAGGGCCATCGACGGCGCTGACGGCGCCCGCACAGTCCTCCCCTCACCCCGGCACACATCACACGTACACAGCACCCGGCGCACCCTCAGAACTCACACACACTTCGAGACGCTCCCCCAGAGCCCTCCCGCTGGCCCGGGCCCTAAACTGCAAGGCACCCCCAGGCTCCCGGACAGAGGAGGGACCCCAGGACTCACCAGTCCCTGCGCACACAGGCCTGGTGCTCCCGCCAGGTGGAGCGAGAGAGAGTCGGTGCCCGTGCCCGGCGCTGCTCTGGGCTGGCCGCCCCGCCCTCCTCCCGCCCCCCTCCCTCCCTCCCTCTCTCCCTCCCTCCCCGGCTGCGGGGCCAGCTTGATTTCATTAAGGGGTTTGGGGTGGGGACAGGGGGAGGGGTGGGGCCTCGCTGGGCCACACACATCCCGCCTCGGCTCCCACCCCGGCAGGCGGGCGCCCCCTCGACGTTCCGGGGAAGCCCAGATGGGGCACTTCCTCCCTGACCACGGGTCCCCAGGGTAGGCCGCGGCACACAGACAGACAGACGGGGCTGTCCCACAGTGCCCCCAAAACAGCAAGCTGGGGTCCCACCCTCTTTCCAAACAGGAAAGGACAGGGAAGCTCGGGGTGCCCTAGAAGTGAGGAGGGAAGTTCCCGGTCCTCGGTCCCCACTGGGGTCCGAGAGTGGAAGCCGGGGCGCGTGTGAGGCCCAGCATCCATGGTGACCTGACGCAGGGTCCAGGGCTGAGGTAGAGAGCCAGTTCCGGCACCCACGGCACGGCCCTGGTCCGGCCCTTGCCTCCTCCAAGCCTCAGCCTCCCCAGCAGCAGGGGTGGGCAGGAAGCTTTCTGGGCCCTCTCCGGCTCTGACGGGGCATTCTGGATCAGTGGCCTCACTCTACCCCAGGGGGTGCGGCCAGCGCGGGGGCTGTGGCCCCAGGGCACAGACGGGGCAGTGAGGCAGGGTGAGCTCCAGGGGCTCAACCAGGGGACAGAGGCAGGTCGGTGGTGGCACTGGAACCGGGACCTCTGGCTGGCCCGAGGGGTCCAGTGGGTCTGTGGGCCCTGCATCCGTTCTTTCACACCCTCGTTCATTCATTCAGCAGAGGAATGTTCTAGGTGTGCTTCGTGAACTGCTACAGCGCACCAGGCGCCGTGCCTGGCAGGCCTCGGGGGCGAACCAGACTCAGCCCAGCGCCCGGGGAGCACGAAGATTTCCGGGGAGAAGGACACGTGCAAACGTTACTCTTTCGCAAAACAAAAATGGGCTCGTGGCTGGAGAGAGGCCAGGTCAAGGGCTCAGGGACCCAGAGCAGAGAGAGGCCCACAGAGAGAGAGAGGGAGAGGCAGCGACGCGGTCCCAGAGGACCTGGCTGTGAACGAGCAGATTCTGGCCGCGAGGAGGCGCTGCAGGTGGAAGCTCCCCCGTGTGCGGGGGCGGAGCGGCTGCAGGGTAACGGGGGCTGGGCGAGTCCGCAGGAGGCCGGCGAAGGTCTCAGAACGTCATTCATCCAGCCTAAGAGCCCACTCTGTGCTCCTCCTTTGGGAGCAGAGCAGCTCCCGCAAGGAGTACGGGGCCCAGAGGCAGGTAGACCCAAGTTCAAATCCTGCCCCACACGGAGGCTCTGAGGAGGGAGACGGAGGGCGTGAGCGCGCTGGGCAGCGTCCACCAGAGGCCCGGTGCCTGGGTTTATCGTCGCTGCCGCAACCAGTCAGTCACCACGCACGTATCGGCTTCAAACAGCACACATTTATTCTCTCACGGTTCTTTTTTTTTAAGTATATTTTATTGTTATTCCATTACAGTTGTCCCCATTTTTGCCCCTTTGCTCTCCCCGACCCTGCCCACCCCCACCCCCACCCCCCAGTCAGTCCCCGCCCTCTTGCCCGTGTCCGTGAGTCATTCACGCGTGTTCTTTAGTCCGTCCACTCCCCTTCTCTCCGCCCCCATCCCGTCAGTACACTCCAGGGCCCCAGGCTTGTGCTTCTCCTTTCCCCGTTAGTTTATTTTTGTTCATTAGGTTCCTCTTTATAGGCGCGATCATAGGGTGTTTGTCTCTGACCGGCTCATTTCACTCAGCACAATATTCTCCAGGTCCACCCATGCTGTCACGAAGGGCAGGGGCTCCTTCTTCCTTTCTGCTGCGTAGTGTTCCACTGTGTAGGTGCGCCCCAGTTTTTCGGTCCACTCACTTACCCACGGGCACTTGCGCTGTTTCCAGCACTTGGCTATTGGACACAATGCTGCTATGAACACTGGGGTGCACAGGTCCTTTTGCACTGGTGTTTTGGGATTCTTTGAGTATAATCCCAGCAGTGGCCTCTCTGGGTCAAAAGGCAGATCCAGTTTAAGCAGTCTGAGGACCCTCCACACTGTTTTCCACAGCAGCCGCGCCAGTCTGCACTCCCACCAGCAGCGCGCCAGGGTCACCGTTCCTCCTCAGCCTCGCCAGGACTTGTGGTTTGTTGATTGACTGATTGACTGATTGATTTTTCGTGGTCGTTCAGTTACAGTTGTCCCCGCTTCCCTCTCTGCCCTCGTTGCTCTCTCTCCTACATGCGGCAGCCAGAAGTCGACAGTGGCTACAGCAAGGTGTCGGCCTCGCTGCATTCGTCCTGGCATCCCCGTGGGGGTAGGGGGTAGGGAGGGAGAGGGGAGAATCTGCCTCTTTGCCTTTTTTCTTTTAAATCCCCACCTGAGGACATATTTTTCATTGCTTTTATTTTTAGTTTTTAAAGATTGTGTTTATTTGTTTTTAGAGAGAGGGGAAGGAAGGGAGAGAGGGAGAGAAACATCAGTGTGTGGTTGCCTCTCATGCGCCTCCTACTGGGGACCCAGCCCATGACCCAGGCATGTGCCCTGACTGGGAATCCAACTGGAGACCCTTTGGTTCACAGGCCGGCGCTCGATGCACTGAGCCACACCGGCCAGGGTCTATTTTTCACTGCTTTTAGAGAGAGAAGACGGGAGAGAGAGAGAAACATTGGTGTGCGACAGAAACATCGACTGGTGGCCTCCTGCACGTGCCGGGACCAGGGATCGCCTACGCCTGGACCGGGAATCATAGCCACGACCCCTAAGTTATGGGATGACGCTCTTGCCAACTGAGCCACTCTGGCCAGTGCTGTGTCTCTGTCTTTTTTTTTTTTAAGATTTTATTTATTTACTTTTAGAGAGGGAAGGGAGAGAGAGAGAGAGAGAAACATCAATGTGCGGTTGCTGGGGGACGTGGCCTGCAACCCAGGCATGTGCCCTGACTGGGAATCGAACCTGCGACACTTTGGTTCGCAGCCCATGCTCAGTCCACTGAGCTACGCCAGCCCAGCACTGCCGGCACGCAGGGCTTCTTTGTCTTCTTAAGCCTCCAGAAACCACCCACATTCCTCGGCTCACAGGCCCCTTCCTCTGTGTCACAGCTGGCTGCTGTGGCCTGCGCTCTTGTCACTCTGCCACCTCTGGTCCTCTCCTCCAATCCCTCTTCCACTTTTAAGGGCCCTGGGGATGACACTGGGCCCGCCCCGATCATCCAGGACAATCACCCCGTCTAAGGACCTCAACGTAATCCCACCTGCAAACAAACCCTTTTCACCATGGAAGGTGACGCGTTCACGTTCGCAGGTTCCAGGGGCTGGGACGCGGACCTCCCTGGGGGGGGGGGGCGGCACTCCGTCCCCCACACTGTGGTTGCATACTGGTACCTGTTCCCTGGGGAGCCAGAATCATCCACCCTCCAAACACTGGGGCGGCTCCTCCTCCCATCGAGCCCACCTCTGCGCAGGCTCCGTGAGTGCTGCGGGGCAGGCGAAAGATGAAAGGAAGCCCACCTGACAGGTGCAGAAACTGAGGCTGACGGCAGGCTGACCTCCTGAGTTCTGGCAGCGTGGCGAGGATCACAGCCCTTTCTTCCTCCACCAGCCCCTGAGTCTTCCCTGGAAGTGACACGGCCAGGCCAGTGACCCCTGCCGCCAGGGGCTCTGCCCCGCTCGAGGGCTGTCTGCCCGTGTCAACACGCACACCCTCCTTCAGCCGACCCACAGTCCCAACCCGCCACCTGGGGCCGGAACAGCACGCACGTGGGTCCCCGATGGAAGCAGGAAGGACCGACCTGGGAGCACCAGCCCCAGCTCCCTCATCCCTGGGGGGTTGGGTGGGGGCGGGACTCATCGCTGCGCCTCTCTGGGTTGCTGCCAAACGCAGGGTTGTCTGCCCCGGGCCTGCCGGCACGAAGCTTGCAACACGCTGACACTCTACGTTTTCTTCATTCTGTGATCATTTCTTCCAGCGTTTACTGCGCAGTCAGCCCAGAATCAGGCCCTGGGGGGCAGTGACGAGCAAACAGAGGCACGGAGTTGACAGAGCAGAGGGGAGACCTGCCGTGAGTAAGAAAACAAACGAGTGAATGTCTAACTGCAAACCGGGCTAAGAGTTGGGATGAGATGCCTGAGGGGCCGAGGGAGGCTAGTCTTCGGGGGAGGGAGCTGGTTTGGTCCCGAAGGTCACGGAGGCCTCCATGAGGAAGTGATTGCAGAGCTGAAGAGGAGGAGGAGGTATTTAGGAAGGCAGCGATGCCAGAGAACCGCCCCGTGGTGAGAACAGCACGTGCAAAGGCCCTGAGGTGGATGGGAACCCAGCAGCTCCACGGCAGCTCCTAAAGACTGTTGTTGAGTAAGAGATGAGTCAGATCTGCGGGGACCTCAGACTTTGCCCGTTTTGTGCACTGCCTTACCTCCAGCATCTAAGACAGTGCCTGGAATACAGCAGGTGCTCAATGAATGCTTGTCGCTGCGTCAATGGCCACTCTCACCTCCACCCTTGCATTCCCACATTTTGACAACCTAACGCCCTGAGATTTTGTTCCAGCCACTCCTGTCCTCTCTGAGGGTCTCACCACCCCCATTCTCTGGTCCCAGGACCTGCTCCGGGGCCTGGCTGGATGATCCCCGAGGCCTGAACTGCCACGGCTCCAACAGGGCACAGGCAGGCCTGTGGCGGGCAGCGAGCCGGGCCACCCATTTGCAGCCTGTAATTTCGGAGGCACAGAGCAACGGGCCCTCTGCCCAGCCTTCAGGCCTCACCCTGTGCCTAACATGCAATTAGCAGTGGTGCCCCCCGCCCTGCTGAGCAGCCGCAGCCGAGGAGACAGGGCGGGCGAGGGCCAAACCCACCCGCCTAAAGCCTCGGCCAGGGTCCTCCCTGTTGAGCCTGGGGGGGCGGGGGGTGCCTAGTCCACCACAACCCCCAGCTCCAGCCTCTCGTGTGCTCAGAGCCCCCTCTAATTACATAGCTCCCGGG